TCGTAACGAGGACAACCGTGTGCAGTGGCTGTTCAGTGGCACCTGCCGCACGTGTCTCTCAACGCTACAATTTCCAAACCTCCAGGACCCGAGGCCTGATCTTCACGTTGGCCTATTTGTCTCCCAGGCTCCCTCTCCGCAGGATCCCAGCGGGCACGCCCCGACTCCGGCCATTCCCGCGCCTTCCAGCAGAGCAGGTACACAAGCCACACCCGCCCAACCTCGCCACAGCCTGTCGACCCCTCTAGGCTCCACCGCCCGGTCATCCACAGTTGCCGCCAAGTCCGAGCAAGCTGCCGGGGCCTCCGGGGCAGGAGAGAAATGCACAGATACTGTCCCGGCTCCGGGCCTGGTTTTTCGCATGCTCAGCACCCGAGTTGGCCCTGTCCCGGGTAGGGCCAGACTTGAACCCTGGGGCAAAGGGAGAGGCCAGACCTCTAAGGACACCGAGAAAGGAGACTGGACCCGACCCTTCCTTACCGGTGACGCCGGAGCGCGCTCCAAGCCCCTTCGCAGCCGCTGGAGGCGCCGGGATCTGGTCCTGGGATCCCGCGCTGGCACCTCCAGCGCAGGAGGCGCACGCGCCACGGGGAGTGTCTGCCAAGTGGCGGCAAAGGAAAACATCGAGAAGCGTGCAACTTTCTGGCCGCTTCCGGGTGGTTTTTGCTATTTTTGCCCCCACCCCCACCCCAACCTCTAGCCTTTCCTCCACTTCCTCTTTTCTTGTCCATAATCTATCTAAATTACAGAAAGACAAAACAGAGATTATTTAGGAGAGAAGAGCTTCTCCAAAGCATCGCAGAGACGGGCGGCCGAGTCCGTCCTCACACCCGGCTTTCCCCGCGCCTGCTGTTCCACCTTCCCGGGACCCCTCCCGGTGTCCAGCCGAGCTCTCACCTGAGGTTCACCGGGTCACGAATGTGAGCCACTACTCCAGGCCTCTGACCTCCGGATCAGAGAACATCCGTTCTTTGTCTGGGTGTACGAGCCTGTGCTGCCTAGGCAGAGAGCTTCCCAGGCCCGGCTGGGAGTGAGTCTGGGTGGCAGCTGGTGCGCGGTGCTGGGCTCAACCAGAAAGTCAGGCTGCTTGAGCTGGAGTTCCGAGAAAACCAGCTTGCTCTCTGATGTTCCGCCCCGCCGCAGACCCGTAGCATACTCCAGGTTTCTGTTGGATTCTTTCGTAGTCCTTTGGTTGACTCCCATCCTCTGCAGAGCCCGGCTCAGCGGCCTAAAGGCCGGGACCCTTGCGGTGGCGCCCTCAGCATCCCCTACCCCCGCAGCCCAGCCGTCCTTGCAAGAAGGCTCGGTACTAGGTACTGTGGTGGGGTAGCCCAGGGGCAGAGCAGCGATCAGCACTGGGTATCTATCACAGCGGGCTGCGTGGAAAGGAAAGGATAGATACCCAGTAGGAGTACTAGTAATAGATCAAATGGGAAGGGTATGGTTTTGTTCGTTCCCCTTTCATCCATTCACTTCTTTTTACTTATGGTTTGGGTTCAATGCAAATAAATCCCATTTCATGAGGAAATACTATGAATCAAAGCATACACACGCAAATATAATACAATTCGAAACAGATGTACAGCATTCAGGTCTCAAGCAAGAGTGTTCATTCACATACACACAGTCGATTCGGATCTGTTCAATCTGGTTGTTCCTGTGACATTTTCTAAAGGTGTGTGTGTTGGGGGAGGATTTTCCTTTTCAAGACTGCTGTGGCCATATTAGATACCAGGACATCTAAGCATCCATATGTGACCATGAGGACAAAATGCTTTAGAGAGTATCTTTTTTTTTTTTCTTTATCTTTTGGAAGAGATTTTTGCTAGAGGGTGTGGGTCTTCACCGGAGAGACAGAGAGATGGAGAGAAAGTGAGAAATCACACCCACCCCCAGGGGTGAGGGTGGGGTGGCCACACCAGAATCCCTTCTTATCCATTCTCCTCTTGGGATTTTGGGCTCATATGCAAACGCACCTAGTGTGAGTTTCAAGTCCCTGGGTCCAGGACTCAAACTATGGTCCACCATATGGGACTCCAGCGCCTTAACCACTACACCACCTTCTGCTATAGTGCATGTATGTTCACTGGAGACACAGAGAGAAAGACAGAAACAGAGAAAGACACAAAGTGAGAGACACCACCAGGTCCGGGACTTGAACCACAGTCAGCCATGTGGGAGTTCAGCACCCCAACCACCACACCACCTACTGGCCCCAGATTTGTATTATTTTTTCATGTTCCTAACTACCAATTGGAACAGCTGGCAGATGTAAGCAGATTTTTTGCATCCTTGGTGAAGTCTATTTTAGTTTGACTAGATAAAAGGTTTCCAATCCGAATAATCTTCAGAATCTTGAGTGTAGTGTAATTAAAATGCATCTTATGAGGCATTATTCCAAGATACTCTAAGTTGTTAAAACTGGAGTGGGACCAAAATATCCATACATTTAAAAAGTAACCAGAGGGATCAGCAGACGGTGTGATGGCTATATCACTGGACTCCCATGTAGTCAACTGCAGTTCGAGTCCCAGACCTGTTGGATCAAACACATGCCGGGCGCATGTGTGTGCATGCCCAAGATCCCGAGAGGAGAATGGAGGAGAAGGGATTGCGGTGTGGCCATCCCTCCTTGGGGGTGATTTTTTGCTTTCTGTCTCTCCATCTCTCTTTATCTTTCTGGTCTGGAGAGCCCACACACCCAATAGCAAAAACCCCTCCAAAAAAAAAAAAAAAAAAGTAACCAGAAATACCGATGATCAGCTAGATTTGGGAAATACAAGACCAACTAGTCTTTTTTTAAATGTTATTTATTTATTCATTTTTTTTTTAATTTGAAAGATAGAGACACAGAGAGAGAGAAAGAAGGGAAGTGAGAAAGCAAGCCACCAGGTCCAGGATTTGAACCATGGTCAGCCATGTGGGAGTGTCCAGCACCTTAACCACCATGCCACCTACTGGTCCCAAGACCAAATAGTCTTTAAGGGCAATAATTTTCCTGGATTCTATATGTGGTACAGCCTTAGCCAGTGGAGTTGGTGAGGGTTCATTTCCAAACCATTTTTCCCCAATAGGCTTATAACATTATCACCTTGTACATACAGGTTTGCAGAGCATACTCTCAGGATTCTCAGTAGCAAACATAACAGAAACTAGCCAGTGTCATACAGGCAAACCATAGTCACCACCAGAAAATAAGAGTTGCTAGAGATCCAGGCCATTCTTGGAGTGCACTGGTCTGTGAGGGGAAGGCTCAGTAATAGAGAGCCTCAGTTCAGATTCAAAGTCCTTGGACAACCACCAAAGATCTTACCAAAGAAAGAAACTCATGTTATTCTTACTTGTCAGTTCATCTCTTTATGAGTCAAAGAGGCCTTTCTAGTGCATGGAAATATGACTTCCTAGTGTGACTTGAGAGAAAAAGGCAAGGTAACTCCCCACGTGTTTTGTCTAGACTGGTGCTTTTATTGCACATCAAGAGTGCTAAGTCCACGGCGAACATACCATTATTTGGAAGTTTGAATGTATTTCTTCATTCAATTTAATTCTTCATTATTTGTATCTGGGTAACATTTTGTCCTCTTAGGATATGTAACATATTCGCTTAGTACACATGTCTGTGTGTGTGTCTTATTTTACATACCCACTCCAACCTCCACCACCTCTCCTCAACCTAACTCTCAACTCTCATAGGTCTATGTATTTTCCTTCCATAGTCAGAACAACTCTAATAACATATTCATCCATTTAGGTTTGTTTAATATCTAGCTACTGTAATAGACTTGTAAATTCTATAAAATCGGGAACATATATCTGCTTTGGATCTGCAGAGAGATTCCGAGAACATAAATATTTTTCAAATTAATAAATGAAAAATAAATGAATGAATTGTGAGGCCCTTGGGAACATAAAATTGTCCTTACCTTATATCCCCTACAGCACAGAGCATCAGGGTAATCACTTTATAAGAATTCATCTAACCTCTGTAACAAATGCTTAGGTGAAATTCAATGACTCTCTAATCATTCACTCACTTATGAAATATCCACTGTTTTCTAGATTGGACCATGCCATCACTCCTTTTTCGTAGCCTACAAACAAGATAGATGGATACAAATAATTGCATAATATACATAAAATGTATCCATTAATTCATTCAAAAAGATTTACTGAGGGACTGGCAGGTGGAATGGTGGTTAAGGGCTCAGACTCCTACCTGGCCAACCACAGTTCAAGTCCCAGACCTGGTGGCTTGCTTTCTCACTTTCTCTCTTTGTCTCTCTTTCTCAATATCTCTTAACCAGAGAAAGACAGAGAGGGAAAGTGAGAAATCACCCCCTGAGGGATGACCATGCCACAGTCCTTTCTTTTCCATTCTCCTCTTGGGGTTTTGGGCAAACATGTGTATATACCTTGAGTGTTTTTCAGGCCACCATGTGAGGGATTTGAACCATGGATTTTACCAGGTGGGATGCAGCACCTCAACCACCACAACACCTGCTAGCTCTGATTCCTGGTTGCTTTTTAAAACAAAAATTGCAAATTACCTGACTTACAAAATTTGCTACCCAAAGATTGGAGACTCTCAGTCCTCAACTTCCAGCAATGATTTCATTCATTACTCTCTTCAATCCCCTGAGGTCTTTGCACCCTGGGACAATGCATCATAGAAAGATGTGGGGATGCTGGGACCAGCAGGTGGCATGGTGGTTAAGGGCACTGGACTCCCACATGGCCGACTGCAGTTCGAATTCTGGACCTGGTGCTTGCTTTCTCACTTTCCCTCTCTTTCTCATACCCTGTCCCTCTCTGGTCAAATTAAAATAAATAAATAGTAAAGTAAAGTAATTCTTTTTAAAAAATGTATTGAGCTCATGCTAGGTGCTGGGGTCTGGAGTAAATCAAAGATAGGTGCAGTCCCTGCTTCTCAGACCTTACACTTAGGAAGAAAATATGGTTAAAGGGAACAATTGCAGTAATACGTAACAAGTACTCTGAAAGATGAAGTTCTTAATAGCTACACTCCTCAAATGAATAGGAAAATCTTCCTGGAGGAACATGTATTTAAGCTAAAATCCAACTTAGCCAAGTAAAAGAATCAGAGATTAGGGTCAGCCTAATGGTTGGAGTTGGACCCCACATGGCCTACTGTGGTTGGAATCCTGGTGCATGTGCATAAGTGCCCAAAATTCTGACAAGATGCTGAAATGAAGGAAAAGGGATTTCAGCATGAAGATGTCCCATTGGAGGGTGCTTTCTCACCCTCCTTCTCTCTATTCCTCTCTGGCAAGCACATGTACCCTCTGACAAATTTAAAAATAAAAATAAACAAGCACTAACTGAAAGATTTTATTTGTAACATAAGCGAAAGGGTTAATATCAGAATATACAAAGAACACTGAAAAATCTGTTAGATAACAACAACAACAACAAACACCATGTGTGGAGCAGGCAGGTGGCATGCTGGTTAAGGGCACTGGACTCCCACATGTCTAACCATAGTTTGAGTCTCGGACCTGGCAACTTGCTTTCTCACTTTCTCTCTCTCGCACTGTCCCTCTCTGGTCAAATTTAAATAAATAAATAAAGTTAAATA